AGAGTCAATTACAAAGAACAAACAGAAAATAGCCAGTAATCATAACTTTTAAGTAACTGTATCGATTAATTGGAATTTTTCACATCTTGATGAATGTGAGATTTATAACATGGAGAAAATAATAAAGCATATCTGGAAAAAAATTATTGTTTTCCCACAACATATATATCATCAATGGCCCAAGCTTCCAGGGAGATTCTGAAAGTGTATACAAATGCAGGTGTTCCTTTATTAAATGTTGCAGATATTAACTATCCTGATGTGGTAAAATATCACTGCATATTTTTCACTGACAACCCTAGGTTTATTTTCAGGTAACGAGTATATGCTCTTCTGGCTAATATACCATCTGTTGAGATGCTAAATAAACTGTTTTTAAGTTATCATTTATACTTTAAACCATACAATTGTGTGAGGATACATGTGAAACATAAAAAAGCTACCTAAAGTCAAGGAAGGCACTATGTGTGGCATACTATCGGAGTTCAAAGTGTTTATTGAGGAAGTGAATAAATGAATGAATATTTTAGAGTCAAAAAAGCTTTCCACAAACCAAATGCTGCAAAACAGACGAAAAGATCAAAAAGTTGTGGCATATTTACACAATGGAATATTACTGCATGATCAAAAAAGACAAACTCATGCCATTTATGGCAATATGGATGGAGATGGAAAGGATTATACTAAGCAAAATAAGTCAGCCGGAAAAATTTAATATTAGATGGTGTCACTTTTATGCAGAATATAGTGGTCAAGAAAAAGACAAAACTAGCAAGCTGACCAGAGATCTGAGGCATACAAGAGGGGAAAAGGAAAAAAAGGTGAAAATAGGGGAAGGAAGAACACAAGGGAGTAAAGGTGTTGGTTCACAGGTGATGTGGTTGTGGGAGAACTATGGAGACTACCACAATGTAAGGAAATAAAAAAGATAAATTAAAATTTATTTAAAAAAAAGTTTTCTAGACTCTAACCAGATTTTTAGGAACTACTATAACAGAAAGATGCTTCATTCCTGATCATAATGATGCAGATGATGGTCACACAAAAAGTCAGACCCATGTGGCCCTGTAGGTTACAGACCCAGCTATGTAGTTAAAATACTTAGACTTGTGAGGAAGCAGCCACAGCTGGAGCAGAAGTGGTGATATGAGGACTGGTGTCTTAGCAAGGAGACAGAGACAGAAACAAGCAGAAAGGGTAGAAAAGACTGAGAAACAATAAGTCAGAATTGGTTCCAGTTCACCAGAAGGGATAGTGCCCTTCCCCCACCAAAAGTCCCCCCCCAACCCCCACCCCCCCAGCCCCAGGATCTCCTGAGGCTCCAGCCCAGGATGGGGAGTGCATACATCTCAGAAAGCACAGCCTGTTCAACTATTCAGAAAGGGTACCTAGGCAGCCAATGACTAGTTTCAGTATTGGGGAAAACCACCGACCCAGGCAAATGCTGGGCTCCCAGGTTGTCTGCACCTGTCATATAGAGCCAGGAAAACCACCCAGTTGTCACCCTCCATGAACTCTGAACCTGCACCCAGAGAACACAGTAGGAAACTGCAAGAAGCCACAGTGAACACAGTATGACCAGTGGCTTTTCCTTGCCCACATTGGGCACAGAAGTATAAACTTGGAACTGGCATTGTGTCTAGGGAGAGTTTCCCTGCCCTGTGCATCCCTGCTCCATAGTTAAGTCCAGGACATCCAGGCATATGCTCATTGCCCTACTGCCATGGGAGACTGCAGTCCTCTGGGCATATTGCTCAGAGTCACAGCTTTATCTACATGGGGAGTCTGCGTGAGCTTGAAAGCCAAGGAAGCCACCTACTTCTCCCTACTGAGTGACCTCTGGGCAGACACCCAGACTGCGTAGTCAGAAACTAAGAGAAACCACAGTGCCCACAGTCTGTGAGCAAAGCATTTCTGCTAGCTGGTGGCCAGGGTAGGCTCACCCCAGTGTACTCTCTTGGGCTACTGCTGAAGTTCTAAACTTGATAATATCTGAGAGGTGAGAGAGTTGAGAAAGGATATAAAATAGCAAAATATACACTCATTACAATATATAGCAAGTTGAGACCTCAGGAAAATATGACATCACAAATATGGAACAACTTTCTAGAACCCAACCACAAAATACATGGAAGATCTTATCGTCCTACAAGACAGAGAATGCATATTGCCATGATAACGAAAATTATATTCATAAGGAATATAATTAGTGAATAATATTACAAATCAAATATTTAAACAATAAGGATTTAAACAATGGAAGATGCCAAATGATCAATAGAAGAGATTTTAAAAATTCTGGAGAAAGTCATGGAAGTATCCTAGACCAAATGGAAAGTAATCGTAAGGATAATGGGTACCCTAAAATTGGGGGAGAAAAAGAAGGGAACAGAGAACTAATTCAAAGAAGGAATAATTTGTATGTTCAGTCCTGCTAGCTGGTAGCCAGTGTAGGATGGAGCTAAATATACAAATTCATGAAAGTAAAAGAACATCTAGATATCAAAATGGATTATGGGTAATCGAAATGGAACAATGACTTATGATAGAGGAGTGTGTGCCTTGGTGATCAGTGTGGTGTGATGACAAGAATCTGAGGAGTTGTGATACTATGCCTCTAAATCATAGTGGTATAAGCTAATGTTACCTCATAAAAGAAAGGACCTACAGGGCCCTCCCTGGTGGCACAGCAGGTTAAAGCACAGCACTAAGAAGCTAAAGCCACTTCAGCATGAGTTCAATCCCTGCCCTGGAGGTGACCCACATGGCATGGCAGACCTCTCCTGACCCGCCCGCTGCTCCCCTCAGCAGTGTACTTTGTCGATCTGCCTGTTCTGCTCCCCACTCTGTCTCGGGTGAATCCTGTCACCACTCCTGCACCTCTGGCCTGTACCCCAGTTCTGTATGCATAAATAAATACATCTTTATAAAAAAAAAAAGGACCTACAATTATATGAACATTCCAGTACATCTTAGAGAATGTACACATGTTCTTTTTTACTGGAATAAACTATGCTGAAAGTCATATTCATGCAATAACGAACTTTATTGTAGAGCACGATGTAATTTTGGTTCATGATGGCAGGAAGTGTTTGTCAGGGGTGGAGGGGTGAGTAATTGATCTAGCTGAGCAGTATTAATAATATTCAAGGTTACTTTTAAGTAGCATCCTAACCAGAGTACTGAGCTCCTTTTTCTCTAGCTATTCAAGGACAAACTATTATGTAGTTTTTCCTTCAAAAATATACATATTCAATTATTCTTGATATTTTCTTTGGTTTGACTCACAGACTTTAGACCCTAGAAGCTGCACTAGGGTGTATCTAATGCCTTTCCTTCCTTCTATCATCTCTGACAGGTGGTTACCCTACTGCAGTGTGTAATCATCTCCTGGTGCTGTCTGCTCTCTACCGGACACTTAGCCATTGCAGCCTTCAACATCATGATGAGCTAAAATCTATCTCACTGTAGTTCCCATGCCCCAGGCCATTAATTATGCCCTTTGAGTCAATACTTTCAAGTTCCCAAAGCAGACTAAAAATCTAGAATGAGTTTTACCTTTTGTTTCTTTTTTCAAAAGAGCCACAACTGTACAGTGGAGAAAAGAAAACACTCTTTGACAAATGATGCTGAGAAACTTGGATAGTTTCTCAGGATTAAAAACTTAAGTATAAGACCTTCAACCATCAACTACATAAAGGAAAACATAGGTGATACACTCAACACATCAACCACCAAAATGTACTTGGTGACACAACTCCAATGGCAAGGGGGAAAAAAGCAAAAATAAATGAATGGGACTACATCAAACTAAAAAAGGGAGATTAAGAAATTGTGGAATTTGTACTCAATGGAAGGCAACCAGCTCTTTAAAAAGATGGAATAGTGTCTTTGGAGACAAAATGAATGGGACTTGAGGTTATTATGCTAAGTGAAAAAAGTCAGAAAGTGAAGTTATTCTACAGTTTCACTCATTTGTGGTACATAAATAACCAGAGAATGCAACCTAGCAAAACACAATACAAATAACACAGAATCTATGAAAAATAGTGCTTACGAGAGTGAATAGGGTGGGGGAGGTGTCAGGAATAGGGTAGGAATTTGATGGGATACTGACGAGCATTGCTGGTGAATGAAGCTTGGGCCCAAACCACATAAAGATGTCATCTTGTACTCCAAATTGCATAGTTGTGTAAACAATCAGAAATAAGTAAAATTTAAGGGAAAAAAAAATGTTAAAAAGAAAAAATGAACTATTGCTATATTCAATCACATAGATGCATACCATGTGATTTTATGCTATACCTCTAAATAATAAATGTTGTAAAACAATGCTATATCAATAAATGAATTAATTAAATGTATAAAAGCAAAAAAAATTATGCTGACCAAAGAAAGCATGTTGCATAGTTTCATTTATATTAATTTTTTAAAACAAACAAAACTAAGCTGATGGAAACCAAAAGGTGGTTGTGTGGAATACAGGGAATATGAATGAAAAGGGGAAAAGGGAACTTACTGGCATGTCAAAATGTTCTGCATCTTATTTGGGGGTAGGAATTACACCAGTTATCCAATTGCCTAAGCTTATCCAAGTTGAGATATAACTTTTGAATATAAATTGCACCTCTGTAAAATAAATGTTTTTTAAAAATCATATTTCTTTAAATAACGGATGGTTTCGCTCATAGCAGGAGTATAATGGATCAGGCGAGAAAATAACAAGAATAATGAACAGCCATATACCAGAGACATTTGGTGGGGGTGGAGTGGGGAATGGGATCAAAAACAGGGGCATGGGAAGGAAAGTACACGGGACTATGGTGATGGCACACTGGTGACTTGGTGATGGGAAACCCGCAGGGATTACAACTGAGATGAAAAATAAAAGTACAAAATGATGTAAAAATAAACTGTTATAAAAATAAATAAATACATAAATTTAGAAAACTCAAAAAAAATCATATTTCTTTGTGTCATCTGAAGAACTCAGTACTTACCACGTGGTCTCTTTTTACTGCAGAACATTATTGCACCTGATAATTTTTCACTAGTTGGCCTACATAAGAAAACAAGAAAATTGCCCATTAGCATTTGCTCATGCTCATTAACCATAATTTTCCTTCATTTTAGTTTCTTTTTGGTCAGTCATTCACATAACAAAGAATAACATTCAATTTTCCAGACTTAAATCTAACCAGATAAGAATAATTCTATTAAGTTAGTGTTTTGTGTTTATTTGGTCACTATCTAAGAGGGGAATAGCTATGCCATGTGGCAGATCCACTTCTAGTGTTTTGAGGAAACCTTCATATGGCCTCCTAAAGAATACAAAACACTAATTTGAAAGGAAACCTGCACTCCTATGTTTATTACAGCACTATTTCCAACAGACAAGATATTGAAACCACTCAAATGCCCCAAACAGATGAGTGAATCAAGATGTGGTATATATAAGTATGTATGTACACACCGTGGAATACAATGCAGCTATCAAAAAGATGCACTCATGCTATTTGTGGCAACCTGAATGGAGTTGGAAGGCACTATACTAAGCAAAATAAGTCAGAAGGAAAAAGATAAATACCGGATCATTTCACTTAATGTGAACTACAGAGAAACCAAACAAAAGGTCAGATACAAACCTTGAAAGCTGATTATGGATCTGAGACATCCAGCAGGAGAGCATGGGGGAGAAGTGAAAACAGGAGGGTGGAGAGCATGGCAGACTATGACCAATGCTACGGAAATAGGGTTGTAATAGGTTGGAGTAAAAGGGACAGAGGGGCCTAATGGAGGATTACTGGAGCTTTGAGAGTAGGTGTGGAGAAATGACATACAACTGTAGAGGTGTAGCCTATACCTCAATAAAATAAATCTAAATTAACAACATCAATAAAAAGTAAATATTTATAGAAATTGAACCTTAAAAAAGAATATTTCTATGCAAAAATGGTGAGCTTATATTATAGAAACTATTGGAGCTATTTAAGGTAAACACAGAGGTGTAAGGGCGGTGAGAGGATTCACCAGAGACAGAGAGGGGAGCAGATCAGGAGACTGACGAATTACACTGCTGAGGGGAGCAGTGGACAAGACAGGAGAGCCTGCTATGCCATGTGGGTCACCTCCCTAGCTGGAATCAAACTGATGCTAAAGTGGCTGTAGCTAGCTTTGTAGTACTGGGCTTTAGCCTGCTGTGCCACCAGGGAGGGCCCGTCCAATTTTCTAATGTATTCCAAACACGTGAATTAGAATATCTCAGGGATGAGGCTCCAGCATCTGTTTTTTGTTCGCGTGCCATAGGTGATTCCTTCCCACAGCCAGAGCTGGGAACCACTGCTAAACTGCAGGAGCTAAATGTGAGAGGAAGTTATTGACTGGATTCTAGAGGAAAAAAATACAATTCAGTTTTTTTCATCAATATATTCTTACATTTCTTCTTCAGATATGTTATCCAAAAAGCCATAATTACCATTATCTTTCATTTTTTCCTGCATGTGGTCTAATTTCTTCATATGGTAAATTAATTTTACCCAAAAATTAGAATGAATACATAAGAAGTAAAAAATTATTTCAAACACGTAGTACCCAACAGATCATGGAAGCAAGCTTAGGCATCTTTGCACACAACTGGGTACTGATGCATGCTCTTTCAGTTAAAAAGAGAAGTGACTTGTTTGCTCCCCTCGCAAAGAAGTGGTGTGGCAGGATGCAGTAACATACATAAAGAAGAAGTTGGTCAGTCATACGGAGACTAAAAGAGGGGAAGAACAGAGCTTATCACTTCATTATTGCAACAAAGGAAATGTAGGGGAAGTTCATAAAACCCACTACTTCCCTACAAATCGCTCAGAATCTAAAAGGCCTAAAACTGACTATTTGTCTCTGTTGTGCACCAGCACCCGAAATCCATGCATTCTCCTCTACTACCTCAGGGAAAGTTGCCATCTGCTGGGGTATGCCTAACAAACTGGGCAACTGACACTTTGTGAAACCCACTACTTTTCTAAGGATTGACTACTAAGCCACATGAATTCAAGCTAGAAGATGCATGCCATGTGAGTGTGTGTGTGTGTCCATGCTCAAAATATTTCCTAAATAAAAGAATGAATGAGGTCTTCAACTTCCATGAGGAATCCAGCAAGGGCTTCCAGGTGATAAAAGGCGCCTCCCTATTACCAAATACCCTTCCCAGACCCCAGCTCCAAGTACTAGCATGTCTTAGATCATTCCAAGCTTGTGCCATGGTGGCTTTCTTGACAACACCCATGGTGGCTTTCTTGACAACACCCTCCTTCTACTGTTCTCATCCTCCTGTGCATTTCCATCTCCAGCCTAGGGAAAACCTCAAAGGATGAGCAGTATTTGGTTAGCAACAGAAGCAATGTTAGAGGAAAACTGAAGAAGGGGAAATTTGTAAATGTTGGTGGAGGACAACAAAAGGAAGTGTTCTGGCGATACAACAAGATTCACAAAAAGGGTTTCTTGAGATAAAATCTTTCTATGAGAAATAACAAGGACAAAAATGGGTTTTCATCCATGAAAGACAGTCTTTGTTCCAAAACAAATAGTAATAATGATACAATATGGCAGCAGGGTGAATGAATTCTGAAACAATGACATCTAAATCTGATGGCCCCATCCAGCTAGATGATGAAGACTCATCAACAAGTTCTAAACCAACTCGTTAGGGCTTGAAAACTCTCAGGAGACTAAGTGAACATGTTCTGTAGTCACAACTCAGGATCCCTGGAGCAGTAAAAAGATAGAATGATTCTTTTAGCAAGATAGCAAAAGAATCATCTTGCCCTGACAGATGGCCATGAGAAGGCAGTAGAGAAAGAAACTCAGTCTCTCAGGAAGCTAATATAAGTGCTGGCCACTAGCCAATTTATTCTTTCATTCTCTGTATTTGTTTGCTAGATAGGCTTGAGGGACTAATCCTAACAGACAGCATTACAAAAGATGAAGCAAAATATAGTTGTGCAATAAAAATGTAACTGAAGTGAAAATATCCATTAACTTCTTCTCTTTCTTGTTTTAGATCTTTCTGCAAGTTCTCGTATGAGAGATCCTAAGTAGTCAACTCTAAAGCAATGCCATATAAAATTACCTTGAAGTCACATGGATATTTCATTGTTTTCTATTTTCCTAGTACAATTATCCAATGTATCTTTGAAGCCTTCATTTTAAAGATAAAGACTACATCCAGCTTTTACTTTTAGCCATTTTTGTTCCTAAAGAAAATATTCTCCTCATACTTATTCAAGATTGGATTATATGAATTGAACAATATATCTGTAAGAGTTGTAATTATAAGATCTATATTTATATACTTACTATTTCATAGTAATGATCTTATGTCTTACTCTCGAAAAGATAAAGATAAAATTAAAAACCAAGAGTCAACATCCAAATTCTTGTCCTCCTCCAAGTCAATCTTTCCTTGTCAGAAGATCCATCTGGCACATTTAATGAGGTTCACAGTGCAGTGGCATATTCTAGTGTAACTTTCAGAAAGTAAAATTTAGTCCTTTTATTCTTGCACATTTATCAACTTACCACAATACTACAATTGACACTTGTTCCACCTTTAAAGGATGTTGGAGTAAAGAAATTCATCACCTGTTGAATTTTGGATCAGCGTAGTTCTAAGGAAATAAAGTAAACAAAATCAGATGAGAGAAAAAGATATGCTGAAATGAGATCTAGCTCTACAAACGGAAATTTAGAAAATGGTTTTGAATTTCAACCATCACAAGTGTTAAAGCAACAGTAGCAACATTAATAAATTCCTCCTTTTTTGAAATCATTCCCAAAGCAAAGAAATGGAAAAGGGAAAGCTGCTAAACAGTTCTTATCCTACCCCCGGTTTCATTCTATGCAAAGGATTAAAATGGTGGCATCCTCCATAAGCATGATCAAAATCAAAAAGGCCAGAAACAAGTGTTAACACGGAGTGGAAAAGGGGGAATCTTGTAAGACTATTGGTAGGAAAGTAGACTATGAAAGACAGTATGGAGTTAACACAAAATATTAAAAATATATCTATTATATAATGTGACATGGCAATTCCACTCCTGGGCATCTATCCAAAGACTACCAAAACTCTAATGTAAACAAATATATGCATTCTACGTCCACTGCAGCATTATTTCCAATAGGCAAGCTATGGAAACAACCTAAGTGTCCAGTGAGAGATGAGTGGATAAAGATGTGATATATATGCACAATAGAATACTAAGATTTTTTCTTAAAAGATGAAATTCTCGGGCCCTCCCTAGTGGCACAGTGGGTTAAAGCACTGCACTGAGAAGCTAAAGCCATTTCCGCATGAGTTAGATTCCCGCCTGCTCTGGAAATGACCACATGGCGTAGCAGACCTCTCCTGACCCGCCCGCTGCTCACCTCAGAAGTGCACTTTGTTGATCTGCCTGTTCTGCTCCCCACTCTGTCTCTGGTGAAGCCTCTCGCCACCCCTGCACCTTTGGCCTATACCCAGTTCTGTATGCATAAATAAATAAACCTTTAAAAAAAAAAAGATGAAATTCTCATTTGCAACTACATGGATAAAATGGATAGGATTACAAGAAACAAAACAAGTCAGAAGAAAAAGAAAGATGATTTCATTCATATGTGAAATATGAAGAAACAAAGCAAAGGATCACACAAAAACCAAACAAAATAAATCTTTGAAATCTGAGTACAGAACTAAGTCTACAGAGAGGAGGTAAAGGGTGTCAATAAACTATGGAAGAAGACGAATGGTATTTTAGTGGTGTACTTTGATATTGAAGTCAATAACAAGACATCCATGTCTAAGTGTGGTTAAGTGCTGTGTGCAGACAAGGGCATCTTGTCTATATCATGACTCCAGAAGGCCTCTACTTACTGTGAAAGTGTTTATACCTGTGTGGAGGTGATTCAAAGTTTAATTCAAAGGATTAAGTTTGAGATTCCCTCTAATGACCTGAGGCCACTCAACAATCAAGTGATTACAGTTAATTCCCCCTGCTCCTATTCCATGATCACCAAGCAACCTGCTGATAATAATTTGTTTTCCCAAAGAAGTCTGCCTACAGGGAAAGAATGCATGAGTCATGCATACTGAAGTGAACATCCTGGCCCTCCTGGCAGTTATATTATACGTTTAAAATTAATAACTTGTCATTATTATAGCATCAGTTTCCTGAGCTAATATTAATATGGCCCAAAAATCAGTATGCTGTTAAGTTGTGGCCCAACATTTGCAGGACAACAACACACTCTAGCCATTGTAAATTCACCACCCGTCCTCAAGGGAATGGCCTGATGACCCACTCAAGAGGCAGCAGGATGTAGAAGCTTGTCTTTTGGAGCCAAATCCCTGATCTTGGTTCCAGCTTTTTTCACTAATGCATTACAGAATCTTGAGCAAATAAGCTCAGTTAGTTTCAGAAGCTACCTGGGTGGATGTTGGGGACAGAAGAACAGGGTACAATTGCTCATTAGATATTAAGTAACTTCAAGACAGCCCTCTCAACATTCTTTGTCAAAGCACCTACACAAACATTAGAATGAAATGAAGATAGTTCAGTGTAACTCCTTTAAGACATTCTGCAATAAAGTAAAGGAGGTAAGTGGGAATGGGTAATAAGACATGTTATAGTAGCAGACTGGACCATGGGGATAATCTGAGAGGGCAGAAACAGTGGAAAGTGAAAGACTGAGAATATGAGGTGGAGGTCTAGAAAGGCAAAGGAACTGGAGGAGACAAGCTTAGGAAAAGGAAGGGCCTGGCATTTGGGAAAGATGGGAACAATGGAAGCTAAGAAGCAGAATCTTAGCAGCTCCCCTCACAATGTACCTCTCCCTGCTTGGCTTCATCTCAGGACCTAGGGAAGAAATGGACTGTCCCCACTGGGGAGACCTCCTACTTCCTTAGAGCAGTACATTCTCTGGTTCTCAAGACTCAGGGCCAATTGGAAAGGTGTTCCACACAGCTTCAAGGCATGTACCCTGACCCCTGCCCACTGTGAGGATCTCCTTCCCTCCCTCTTTCTCCAGCCTCTGTTCTGATCTGCTTGCCCTTCTCTTTCCCCTACTCTGCTTTCTCTTCCCTTTTGGAGATACTGTGCTATATAGGAGAGACTTTTAGAATAACAGGATTCCAATCCCAATTCAGTTCTTATCGAATGTTACTTTGGCCACTTGCCCTTCCTAAGCTGCTATGTGTAGTTAGTATACTCTAGGAGGGTAGTATAATAGAGGGCAATAAAAGAGAGGTGACTCCCATGGCAGTTAATAGGTTAAGTATATGGATGGATGGATAGATAGATAGATAGATAGATAGATAGATAGATAGATAGATAGATAGATAGATAGATAGATAGATAGATAGATAGATAGATAGATAGA